TATAAGGTCTAAAGATACCAATTACACATATCACACACCAAAAGAAATTCAAGAATTATGATGTTTATGTAAGGCCTAAAAGATACTAATTACACCAGATCACATACAAAAAGAAATTCTTGAAATATGATGTTTATATATGGACTAAAAGATATTCAAGTGCACTGATCAATTACACTTAATGTTAGACCAAAAAAAATTCACTGAATCTAACGTTTAATAAATGTATTTAAATATACCATCATTAACACCAAATTATTTACCCAATATTAATCCTCAAAGCTTATTTTTCTATGTGACCTAATAGAGAACACTCACACCAAAAAAAAACCTATGACTTATGTGTTTATAAAAACATAATACAGAATAACAATTACACCAAATCACATCACACCATGTACACTATAAATTACACCTAATAATCTACTAAAAATATTAATAAAATTTATTTTATACTAAACCACAAAACCATCGTTTCACCAAACCATTTACCAAAGCAGAATCATGCAATATGAAGTTTATACTAAACAACAAAACCACTAAAGCAACGAAAAAATACCAAAAAATAGCACACCACTCAATATACCCAAATCCAATCTATAAAAGTGATTGATAAACGACCTTAATTCAGATTTAACAAAAAATATATACCCAACATAGTAGATTATAAGATAACGATCATGAAAAAAAAATTCAAATATATTAAATAAAATAATTAAAATAATCACGTAAAAAAACACTAATTCTGTCACGACCCAAATTGAGTCATGAGTGGCACCCACACTTAACCTCCTAAGTGGGCGGACCAAGGAATCTAAACCCCAACACATACCAATAATTAACTACAGATAACAACAATAACGCGGAAGCTCCAAAACTTATTAAAGTGACCAATCAAATAAACCTCTAAAGTCTATTACATATTATCCCCAAAATCTGAAAGTCATCACATCAAGGACATCTGTTCTTAACATATCAAGTCTAAAAGTATTAGAGACCCCAAAATAAGTAAATACGATGGTCCATGTCCGAAATTCAAAGACATCACGCCATAACTGAGAGAATCCAGCACGAGCTAGAAGGAATAGCTCACCCTGAAATCTGATGTACTGGAGACTGGCTAGAGCTGAGGGCGAGTCGAAGTCGATGGTACACTTGCTGCACTCCACAAAAGAAAACGAAGAAAATACAAGTAGGGGTCAGTACAAGGAACACGTACTGAGTAGGTATCATCGGCCAACCCAAAATAGAAACTAATATACAATGAATAATAGTATAAAGTCAACTATAGCACTTAGCAGGTGATAAGAAACCACAACATGAACAAGTAACAGTTGAAGCAAGTACGTAATCAATCACAATATCAAGCACACACACGAGGACTCATGTCTCTACATCACACTCGTTTGGGAAATGCGTTCATTGAGATTGAGTACATTAAGTTAATTCAATATCTTTTTCCTTTAAGGTTACCGTGTCGGAACGTGACACTCCGATCCAATTATACCGTGTCGGAACGTGACACTCCGATCCAATAATACCGTGTTGGAACGTGACACTCCGATCCAAAAATACCGTGTCGGAACGTGACACTCCGATCCAATAATATTATTAATTTATCATTTATTATCACTACTTTTCAGCTCATTAATAACATTACATCAAGCCCTCTTTATTCAAGGCATAACTTCAATAGAGAGGTTTTCAGATTATAAATCTCGCGGTCTCAGGATTTTAGACCAATCACAAACCACACAACCAAGCCACATAATCACACAGTCAAGTACATAGAGAACTTCACAATATCATTCAATGCATATCAATCGCTATTAAGAGTTTATCTATCAAATAGAACAAACCATAACCTACCTCCACCGAAGAACTGACGTTAGGCAAGCTACTTCTCCAATGCCTTTCCTTTCCTCAATATCTCCGAACCTTTCCAATCTATCAAGTATATATGCATAATTTGTAAGTTAACAAGCCTATAAACACTCATATTACTCTATGTCCCTTTTATACTCAAAAACTCACCTAATTCTATAATCAACTTCCTAAAATTCAAACCTAAGGGCAAGTCTTAATTCCTCCAATTAGCATAATTTTAATGGTATTCAACTAATACAATACTCCTAATATTTAATTACTTATCTCAATATATTAAAACATAAATTTATAATATAATAATGTAAGAAACATTCAAATCCCATCAAATTATACGATCTCAGTACTCCACTGTCAACATAGAATAAGCAGAACCTTATTTCTCCTAATGACCCATTCATAATTGCCCCATTATGTTGTCATCATCACTTATAGTAATTTTGCCCACTATCTTATTCCATTCCAGAATTAACACCATACATACGGTAAATATAACAACAACAATATTTAATTGAGAGATTAGTTAGGTCCTAAATTAAACCATGAATTTAACTGAATTGAACCACCGCAATAGGTTGCAACGGCAGTAAACACAGGCCTAACAACCATAATTTAATTCTCTCACCCCAACATATATGACGATACCAGAAACTAAAGTCATTCCATATTCATAAATATATTATACCCATCAGCACATTACGCCATGAATTTCCACTCAAATTTGTCCTTACTTCTTAAAATAATCTCACTGGAAATTAACAGATTACTGGGAGCCAATCTTGTCTCCAACCCAATGCCACTATCTACACTCAATTCCAACCCAACCTTAATTATATAATAATAATAATCATCCTACTATTAATGAAGGACATGAGAATCACCTGGATGTCGTTCTTCCCAGGTAGATGCGCCGCAGGTATTACTTCTTTGCCTGATTTTGTTATTACCCTAATTATTAAAAGACTAATTATAAAAGCATCAAAAGTGAACCCCTACTAAATTTTATATTATTTTCTTTAACCATCAACTAAATTAATTATTAAAGGTACCTCATTAATTATATAATTGTAGTTATGAATAGTCCAAAATATCCATTTAGAATCTATCGGAAAGTATTTTATGAAATAAAAAGCTCTAGTACTCAAAACGACCAAATGGGTCGTTACAAATTCAATGTGATTTATCACAAATACCTGATGTGTCCCATCCTCCGTTGTGTTGAATTAGAATTGAAAAATTGTTGGTATGTTTGAACTGTCGATCAGAAGGGAGTAGAAAGAGACTTTTATTTTTGTTAAAAAACTTTTTTTTTATGGGAGGGAATATATAACAAATCTGAGTAAATCGTGGAAGGTAAAAGAATTGGAGAAAATCAGGGATTATAAGAAAATCGTGGCTGACTAATTCTACGCTTCCTTTTTTTTTTAATACTAAATTCTAATTTTGAAAAACAACAATTGCTATATAGGCGGAATTTTTTTTTATTGCTATATAGTAGTAATTAAGGTACTTAAATTGTATATTTAATAATTTTGCCCTATTATAATCTCTAAAGTTTCCTACCATTAAAAATAAATTACCAAAATCTCTTCTCAGATACATATCTATCCCCTCTCAGATACATCTCTCCCATTAAGTAATGAATCATTTGCAATGTATCAGATAGCCAAGGAATATATCCGAGAGCAATGAAATATTTAGTGTTTTTGAACATAATTGGGTAAACTTCTGAGGTAGGATGTAACTAGCCCCAAATATATGATACTTCTGTTCTATATACTTATATTTAATTTGGTTACATTATATTATGCAGTGGTCAAAATTCAGGCCCAATAGATGATGGAAAATATCTTATGCAAGTTCTTCAAGAAAAATTTGGAGAAACTCGTTTGCATCGAGCTTTGACCGAAGTTGCCATCTCAAGCTTTGACATCAACTCTAATCCCATCACCGGAAACAATATGGCCTAAGAATGCCACAGACTTAAGCCAAAACTCACATTTAGAGAACTTAGCATATAACTCCTTATTCTGTAGAGTTTGGAGAACTATTCTGAGATGGCTAGCATGATCTTCCTCAGTCCTCTAATAGATTAGAATGTCATCAATGAACACGCTAACAAACATATCTAAATTAGGCTTGAATACTATGTTCATAAGGTTCATGAATGTTGCAGGCGCATTGGTCAAACCCAGGGGCGGACCCACGTGTTGCCCAGGGGTTCACCCGAACCCCCTCAAAAAAAATTACACTGTATATAAGGTGAATTTTCTGGATTTATGTGGATATATATATTTTGAACCCCCTTAATGACAAGGTGAAGGAGATAGCCTAGTGGCAGCTCCCTTCAAAGTTAAGCCTGACGTCCAGGGATCGAATCCCTGGGTTAGCGTTTTATTTTTTAGTTTTTACTTTCAGTTTTTTTTTTTTCCCAGTTCCGATTTTAATGTTTTTTTTTTTAATAAAACGTGCTAAAATGTGGTGTTAAACCCAAAAAAATTCAAGGGTCCCAACTCCCATACTCCCATAATCCCATTCCTAAAAGCTAATAACTTTTTCACTTTTCAAATCCCTAAGTCACTTTCTTGTTCTTCCCCAACTCAAAACTCAAATATTAAAATCATCCCCCATAATATTCTATTGTTGATTGTTTCATACTTGACACTTCATGCTTGAATCTCACATTCAATTCGAAATGAAAAATCAAAATTCATGCTTATTGCTTAAAAGGTAAAAGCCTTTTTCTCTTCTTCTTCTTTTCTTTCAATTTTCAAGAAATTAAATGGGTCTTTATTTTTTAAGGTTGTAGACTTGTAGTATCTCTGATTATCTGAAGTGGAGGCTCAAAGCTAAAATTAAAAGGGTTGATTGTTTGTCTTTTCTCCAAGGTAAGCTTTTCTCTCAATTTTCTTGAAAAGTTCATCTTTCTTGATTGAATATTGACTATCTTCATTTTAAATTGGAATTTTTTTTGATTGTTTTTTTCTATTCTTTCTTTGATAGTCGTAACTAGATTGATGAACCATTTGAATTTTGATGGTAATATCTAATGTAATTTGTAAAAAGTTATCTTTAATGCATTTAACAATTAACTATTTTGTATAGATTCATAGTCAATGGAGAAGTCCTTTTTTAAAGTATCAAATTCAAGTTCTATTACTCAGAATCAACCTAACCGGGAAGAAAATGCTAATCATTTGGAAGTACCATCACACTCTTCTCAAGAATTTGATTTAAGTTCTTTAAAGGCTGATCCAGGTGAAAGAACTCAAATCTTGGAATTTCATCCAAATCACCGTGACGCTATTAGAAGAGCTTATCTCCAAAAAAAACCTTGTCAACCTCTATTAAGAGAGTTTCCACAAACAAACATTTTTGGAGATGTGCGTCGTTTTAATCATAAATGGTTTGATGAATTTCCTGATTGGTTAGAGTATAGTATAAGTAAAGATGCAGCCTTTTGTTTGTATTGTTATTTATTCAAGCAAAATAACAATCTTCAAGGTGGAGGTGAAATATTTTCGAGTGTGGGGTTTAGAAGTTGGCATAAAAAAGCTAGTTTGCAAACACATGTTGGTGGGCATACTAGCATTCACAATCAGTCAAAAAGAAAATGTGAAGATCTAATGCGACAACAACAATCCATACATGCTTCATTTGAGAAACAATTTAATCAAGATAAGCACGGGTATCAGATCCGCTTAGTAGCTTCAATTGATGTAGTAAGACTTCTTGTGAAACAAGGCTTGGCATTTCGAGGTCATGATGAATCTAAATTATCACTTAACAGAGGTAATTTTCTTGAGATTCTTTCATTTTATGCCCAAAAGTGTGATGAAGTTCGTAAGTTTGTATTGGAAAATGCTCCTCAAAATGACCAAATGACTTGTCCAAAAATTCAAAAAGATATTGTAATTGCTTGCAATATTGAAACAATTAAGGGCATCATAAAGGAACTAAATGGTGATTATTTTTCCTTATTGGTTGATGAATCTTTTGATGTTTCACGCAAGGAGCAAATGGCGGTTGTTTTACGATATGTTGATAGAAGAGGATTTGTGATGGAGAGACTTCTTGAAATTGTTCATGTTAAAAATACTAGTGCTTTATCTCTAAAAGAAGTAATTTTCAATTTACTTTCTCAACATTCCTTGAGTCTATCTTATGTGCGTGGACAATGCTATGATGGAGCAAGTAATATGCAAGGTGATATCAATGGTCTTAAGATGTTGATTAAGAAAGAAAGTAGATCGTCTTATTCCATACATTGTTTTGCTCATCAACTTCAATTAACTCTTGTTGGTGTTTCTAAAAGATATCTTCAAGTTGGAGAACTTGTTCATTTGGTTTCAAATATTTTTAATGTTTTGGCGGCTTCTTATAAACGTATGGATGATTATCGAGAATCTCAAAAAAAAAAAATCAAGAAGCTTTTGATATGGGTGAGCTTAAAACGGGTAGAGGCTTGCATCAAGAAGTTGGTATTTCTAGAGCTTGCGATACTCGTTGGGGATCTCACTTCAAATCTTTTAATTGTTTTATTCTCAAGTTTGGTACAATTATGGACATTCTTGATAGTATTGTTGAAACTGCACATTCTATGGATGAAAAATCCAGGGCAACATGATATATCAGAATTGCTCAAACTTATGAGGTTGCATTCATGTTGCATTTGATGAAAGAAGTTTTAGGAATTACTAATGATCTTAGTACATGTTTACAAAAAACGGAGCAAGACATTGCAAATGCCATGCTACTTGTTAAAGTGTCCAAGAGAAGGCTACAAGAGTTGAGGGAAAATGAAAGATGGGATTTATTTGTTGTCGAGGTTTCTGCATTTTGTATCAAGTATAATATTGTGGTGCCTAATTTTGATGAGCCGTATGTTAATTCTGGAAGATCACGACGTAAATCTACTGATTATACTGTTTTTCATCATTATCGTGTTGAAGTATTTTGTAAAATAATTGATTGGCAACTGCAAGAACTCAATGATCATTTTGATGAGGTAACAACCGAGTTGCTTTATGGAGTTGCTTGTTTGAATCCGGTAAACTCATTTTCAAGTTTTGATATCCAGAAAATAATGAGAATGGCTGAATTATATCCTGACGACTTTGAACTTAGCATGTATGCACTTGAGAATCAACTAGAAAATTACATTATTGATGTTCGTGATATCGATAAAAGGTTCTCTGATTTACATGGGCTTTGTGATCTTTCAAAAAGATTAGTTCAGACAAAAAAACATTCATGTTATCCTCTTATATTTGGTTTGGTGAAATTCATTTTGTTTCTGCCAGTTGCCACTGCATCCGTTGAAAGAGCTTTTTCGGGAATAAAATTTATTAAGAATGAGTTGCGAAGTCGAATGAATGATGACTTCTTGAGCGGTTGCATGGTTCCTTTTATGGAGAAGGATGTGTTTAAGGATGTTTCAACGGATGATATTATTTTGTCTTTTCAAGCAATGAAACCTCGTTGAATAGTATTGTAAACGTGCTTGAGAAGTATTAGCACTGACCTCTTTTTGGAGTTTGTAGTTAGCACTCTAGTCCTAGAGTGAGACATTACGAATGCTAAATTTTTTTGTTCTAGTTAGCTCCATTTTTTGCTCTACTTAGCATCCTAGTTCTAGATTGACATATTGTAAAGGGCTAACTTTTTGTTTCACTGTAATCACTCATGTTAGTTTCAGATTTCTTGTAACGAAACTAACTTTTTGTACCTATAAACTATATACTACTACTTCCTTGAAATTTTATTTTGTTGGCTTATTTACACGTTTATACTTTTATTTTTCGAATCCCCTAAACGAAAATCCTGGGTCCGCCACTGGTCAAACCAAAGGACATAACTAGAAACTCATAATGACCATAACAAGTCCTGAATGTTGTCTTTGGAATGTCACATTCCCTTACCCTCAACTGATGGTAGTCTGATCTGAGGTCTATCTTAGAGAAACAGGTGGCACCCTGAAGCTGATCGAAAAGATCATCAATTCTCGGAAGAGGATACTTATTCTTGATCGTAACCTTGTTGAACTGGCGATAATCTATACATATTATAAGGGAACCATCCTTCTTCCTCACAAATAAGATCGGAGCGCCCCATGGTGAGACACTTGGTCGAATGAAACATTTATCTAGGAGATCTTTCAACTGCTCTTTTAGCTCTTTCAACTCTACTGGTGCTATTCTATATGGCAGAATAGATATAGGACAAGTATCGGGAATAATATCTATACTGAAGTCTATTTTTCTCTCAGGAGGGACTCCGGGTAGATCATCTAGAAAGACTTCTGGAAACTCATTCACAACTGAAACTGACTCAATAGGAGGTGTCTCAACACTAGAATCATTAACTCGGACTAAGTGATAGATACACCCCTTGAAAACTAACTTTCTCGCCTTAAGGTACGAAATGAAACGACCCTTAGGCACTGCTGAACTACTACTCCACTCTATAACTGGCTCATTAGGAATTTGGAACCTAACAACTCGAGTTCTACGATCAATGGAGGCATAACAGGCATGAAGTCAGTCCATATCTAGAATGACATCAAAATCAGTCATGTCTAACTCAACTAAATCAGCCATGGTGTTCTTGTGATTGATGGAAATGACACAATCACGATATACTCGCTCAGCTAGAATAGACTCCCCAACCGATGTAGAAACACAAAAGGGTTCACAAAGTTTCTCAGGAAGGACATCAAAATTCATTGCAACATAAGAAGTCACAAAAGATAAACTTGCTCCTGGGTCTAGCAAAGCATAAACATCAAGAGTAAAGACTTTGATCATACCAGTGACAACATCTGGAGAATTCTCTTGCTCTTGACGACTAGTGATCGCATAAAGGCGGTTTGCTCCTCCGCCAGTACCGAAAGTAGCTCCTCTAGGTGCAGCCCTGTCTGGTGGAGCAACTGATGAAGATTGGGCCCTATTGCCCTGATTCCCATTACCTTGCCTGTTCTTAGGGCACTCTTTCATGAAGTGACCCTCTTGTCCACACATGAAACAACCTGTGGAGTCATCGTGACACTTAATTACCTGGGTGAGTCCTACCACACTTTGCAGGTTAGAGTATGCAAGTATTAGTAATGAGAGAACTTGTGTATTATTTTAGGTAGGGATCAATTATTTATGTTATTAGTTTTATTTATGAAAAACTAAACTCCTAACCAATTATCAAACGTGTTATTATTTATGCAGAATATAATACATGTATAACTCACTTCTAATTCAACTATCAAACAACCTTTAGTGCATGCACAACAAGCCGAAACCACACTCTAGTGAGATGGAGACGTACCCAAAACGTGGAGATGGGAGTAACTCCATGGGGCACCAAATATATATGTGGAAATAATAGTGTTAGGTGTGGGAGGGTTAAATTACAATTTACAAGGTTTCTAAGTCCTTGGCCAACGACGATTTTGACTTTATTTCCAATTTCTCCATATCTCTGTCCATAATTTCATTGTCATATGATAATCGATCCATATATATATCTGGGTCATTGCCACTTTTATTGTTATCATCCACTATAACAAATATGATATATAACTATGAAATTATTAGCTACGACATAAAATTCGTCACTAATTAATTACTTTTAGTGACAAAAATTACTTTTCGTGCTTAAATATATGAGCATATACTTTTAGCGACGAAACATAAAAGTTTGTGGCAAAGTTTTGTCCACTAAAATTTCCCACCAAAAAATGAATTGACGCCATTTATTGAGTATTGTCAGTCACGAATTTAAAGTTACCAGTGACACATTATTTCGTCACAAATGATGTATCTAATTCGTAACAAATTATTTTTTTCTTAAAACTAATTACTTTTGGACACAAAATAATTTCGTCTCAAAAAATATGTTTTTACAATAGCGACAAATAAGAGTTTGTAGTTAAATATTATAAGTTTTAGCTATAAAAAATTAGATTTAATTGTGACATTTATTTTCGTCACTACTAATATGAACAATTGGTGACAATAATTTTATTGTCTCTAATCAACCTATGATTTAGTGACAACAAAAAAATGTCACAAAATATGTAAGGTGTTAAATAGCGACGATTTAGAATTTGTAGTTGAATAATTCAACTATTTGCTACGAAAAAATTCATAGCTATATACAAAATTTTCTTTGGATATGATTGTTCATAATTAGAGAACTTCATAAATGGTCCCTGAACTATTGAAGTAGGTCTAAAATAGTACCTTAACAATACATTTATCGGTCGATTTTGTAAAAATAAAAATATTCAATTCATCAATTTTTCTAAATTACGCAATTATAAAATGCATCATTTGAAAAACACAATCTAAATTATAAGTACCGTGAGTGGGTAGTATTCTACCACTACATCATAAATATTTGTTGGCTTAAGACATTTCATTTTTTATTTTATACACTTTCATCGATAAAGAGTATAGAAAAAATAATTTCTCAAACCTGATGCTTATTTTTGTGCGTGCCTATCGATTTTGTGGTGGGTAAACAATACAGACTGAGTCGATTGATTTGCTTCTGTCTAAAAATACATACATAATTAGTAGTGATTCCACGTACGTAGAGCAATTATATAGAGATACTATCGACTTAGACTTTGCAAAGATGTGAAATATTTCATGGATTCTATTAACCTTTTTCATCCGTGTGAAAATTGAAATAAACTAAAAAAAATGAAAGCACAAATGAAAGAAATTAACCAACTAAGATTTTGAATATATTATGATAAAGTACTATAGTTGTGAGTGTCAATGTTTTTAAAAAACATTGATAATACTCATCGAATCGAACCAAGTATTAGATTTCTTATAGTAAAATCGAAAATTTAATTTTATATAAATTTATAATTGTGCTAAAAAGAATTTTAATTTCATAATTGAACTGAATAATGTGATATTGAAATCCTATCTTTTCAAATATAAATTATTTTATTTTTAAAAGTAGAAAATAAATTGTTCTTAATAAATTATTTTAGACGTCTTCTGATAAAATCAAATGTTTTGAACTAAAACAAAAGCTTTAGCAAGGTTCTACCAAGCATATTAAGAACTTTGAAAATCTTGATGTTTTACTTTTTTGTGATAAATATAATGCCATTTGATATTGATTTGGTTCGACTAATTTTAGTTTTTTATTTTTATTATTATTTGGTTCAGCTATTTCTAGGTTTTTTTTTATTTTTATTATTATTATTTGTTATTATTGTTTTGTTATTGTTATTTGTTATTCACAATTAATTTTATATTTAATTTTTGTTTCATATGTAAATAATGAATTTGCAATTTTAAAGAGATGATGTATACAAATAATTTCATAAATGCAAAATAAATATTTGAAAAATAAACAAGTACGATGTAAAATCAAAATATATGAAGAGATTTTACCAAATCGTCAAGGTATATATAATTTCTTGATTGATTTTTTTTTAATTATTATTATTATAGATTATTGATTTATTTTTATAGGTATTTATAAATAATATTACATTTATCTTTTGTGAAAGATGTAGACACGTAAATTTTGATCGAATTTAAAGTTTTATATCATTTTAAGTACTTAAATATTTTTTAAAATTTAAATTAAATATGTATGGATGTATCGTACTTTAGTAAACTTATATAAAAATATTTGAAAATGACAAAAAAAATAGAGTCACACTTTAATGTAGATTAATTTTAAAGAAAAGAAATTTATAAAAAAATGTTTCTTTTTATTTAAGTTTTAATAAATAAACTAGCATTTCTTAATTATAATTTATTATTAGATACTTAATTATTGTTAGTTTAAAAATATTTAAATAATATTCTTATAATTATATATTATATTATAAATCCGAATAGAAATATATACAAATTTATAAATTTATATAGTTTTATGATTGTATGGAAGGATCTATCCTTTTATCCGAGCAAGGGGACAGTCACGTAGATAGTAATTTAAAATAAATTCTATATGATAAATATATTAATTCAGATTCAGGTGCATAATTATAACCATGTGTTTTAACATTTAATGTTAAAGCATCACGAGTATTAACATCAGTTAAAGATAATGGCAAATTAGGTTGAGTATTAAAATATACAGGACCATATGCCACAGTGGACAATTGCAGGAATTTATAATATGTAAAATTATTAATGATATTATTAGAGAAGATTTCTCTATATATGACCCCAAGGATATCGATAGTGATAATTATTACTGTGATTATTACGATATATCCGAATAAAGTAAAATGTTATGTGTGCAGGATGGACCCTCCTTGGATTACCAAGGGCAGAGGTAAAAGTAATAATACAAGGGGAAGATCATCCCAGGGATCGTCCAGACTATATCAGAAGATACTTTGAAAAAAGCGAAAAAATTTCCTCCACAAATTAAAAGAAAAAGATAAACAGTGAAGCCGCCTCTACAGTAGAACCGTCATAACCCGACACCAACAATATTGTTCATCAACAA